GTAATACCATTGAATTCATGTTTATATTTTTAAAACATCATTTTCTGGTACAAGTTTAATATTTTAAAAAATATTTTTGAATAGAATTAACAAGGCTTATATGTATATATAATTTAGTGAAGAAACTAATTAAAAATCTAATGTGGTTTACTTTTTATTTAGGTTTGAAATATAAGAATTGACAAAAATTTTGCGTACGTACTTTGTACACGTCGCCTTATCTTATCTACTCTTTGTGTTCAGCTTATGTCTAGATATTTCAGATGATTAGTTGTCATAAAGTCACTTAAATTCAATTCGTCTATACTTGGGTATATATGGGCGCACTATACGTAGGGTGCGCACTATCTGAGTAAGAAATATGCATTTTTGTAAAAAATGAAAGCGCACTATACGGTGGGGGCGCACTATAGGGCGTCAAACAGGGTAAATGCTTTATTTTAAATTGTATAGTGTTTTGGGTTTTCCAACAAAAGTAACTCATTAAATTTACCGAGCTCACTTCAACTTTCCACCGCAGATATTATGTTTTACTTTATTGTCATTATTATAATAAATTTTACAACTAAATATTATTAGATAATAATTAAAATATTACTATTATTTATGTAAACTAGTGAAATATAATTTACAGTATACTTGATATTTAATAAAATTATCTTCCTTATTTATAAAATAATAGTTTAAACTATAAATTAATTTAGCTAAACTATTTTTGAAATATCGATACATATAAATTTAAATAACATTTTTATTATTTATACTACAATCTTAAATATATTAATTTATTTATAAATTAGATTTTAAAATTTATCTAATAAAAACTTAAAAATCAAAGTTATTTATTAAATAAGTTTTTTAATTATAATTATATTTTAGTTATTAATAATACTCAAAAAGTCTTATTAAAAACAGAAACTCTTTTTTTAAAAACATTATAAACTTTTCGTGATTTTCTTTATACCCCGTATTGACGGCTATTATCACTACAGATGTGATGCCGAGAGACGCGCCTAATATAGAGGTCCATAGGATTGGGTCCATAAATAGGGTCACATCCCATACAAAGGCCAACACTATATTGAAACTCCTGGTGACCGATATGGGACCGGCCTTTTCGTAGTGAAAAGCAATGGTCTGGAATAACTGGTTCAGTATACCGGTCCCACCTATCGCTCCAAGTAATAGCCAGGTCTTGAGATCCATTATAATTCGAGTGATGGATTACCAAGAACAGTTCTTTTAATATCAATTTCTTTTATTAACTATTATAAAAATTAATAAATCAATTGAAAATAATGCAAATATTTAGTTTAATATGCAAACAATTCTGCAATAATTATTATTTCAATATAAACATTGTTTTTATAAACAGGCTGACTCATTTAATTAATCAGGAATCAGCAAAATGTTATTTTATAATTGCTATATCATAAAACTATTAAGTAAGAGTGTATAGTATTAAGCAGAGTAAATTAATAATTTATTGCATACTGTATATCATTTAAAAGATAATTTATTATAATTGCTGACAGTAACAAAAGTTGCGTAAGCAACCATTTATATTTTAAACCTGGAATTTATATAATTTTAATTATTGTTACTGTTACAGTATACTAGTTTGTAAATAACAGAAAATAAAATACAATTTTAAGATTTTAAAATTTTGCATCAAATCTTAGGAATTGAAGTTATTTTATACAATAGGTTCTTTAATTATAATTATGCAGTAGTCAATACTCAAACATAATTAATTAATTAATTATTATTATTATAAATTTATAAATAATTAATAAGGTATATTTTTATTACTTTCAACAATGTGTTTATTTTCTATGCATTCACATATAAATCACTGTAATATCGAGCCGTTGGTAACACTACTGGTCAACAGCTATGCAATAATTAATTATAATATTAAGCATGTCTTGTCAATGCATATAAAATATTAGGTTTTGCGAAAACTGTACATAATGAAGTAATGTTCTCTGAACATTTTAGTCTAGTAGTCATTAGAATACGATAGTTAGAAATGTTTTAAAAAATAAAATTCACGAGTTTAAAAAGTTTTACCAAAACAATATTTATCTAATCAATAGTTTTCTGTTATTAATAATATATTACACAGTTAAAATGATTTACAGTTTATCGGTAAAAACATATATTAAATATTATTATTAATACTACTATATAATATATGTAATTAAATGTTAATTTATTTGAAATGCGTTTTGTTTATCAATTAATTTAATAATATATTTTATTTGGAAAATCATAAAAATTAATATATTAATTTATTTTTAATAATAATCTGAATAATTTAAATATTTATTATTTTTCACTAGTTTTAAACGTTAATTAACAAAATGCTCGTGTCATTAAGTAAATATAATAAACAATCTCTATTGTGTGTTAATATTTATGGCTATTTAATTATATTAACATTAATTTTAATAACTAAAGTTAAATTCACTTTGACAAATTTTAATGTATATGAAACAATGTGCCGTGCAAATACAAATTGCTACTGGTGCCTCAGTTTGCCGGATGAATACCAGTGCGGTTGGTGCCAGTCTACCCACACATGTCAATTGCGCCCACACTGCGATCCTAGGCAAATCTATATTGGCAATTATTCTGACTGTCCCAATCCTCAAATATTGGATATACACCCAAAATACGGTCCCTTTGAAGGGGGAACAGAAATCACCATTACCGGGAGCAATTTGGGGTCAAGTATCAATAATATTCGTGAAATTTATATTGTCAATTTGCCACTGAATGTGTTTGATGTTGGTAGTTCACCCAATCGTGTAGCATGCATAAAACAATATAATGGTTTCATTGAACATAAATTGGTTAAATGTATAATTAATACTACGAATATCTTGCTTAATAAAACAGCCGGCTCGCTCAATTTAGTTAATGGAGATCTAGTTATGTCAATATCCACAGAAGTTTTAATTAATGGAATTTATAGGTAATTTTTAATATTTTTAATTAATTTAATTATAATTATTTAATTTTATATTTTGTTTTTAAAATGAGTGATAAATGTTGCATACTTAAATTTAAAAATTAGCATCACTACGGAAGCCCGTTATTCGAGCTATGGATTTGTTGATCCAACTATTTTAAACTTCAGCCCTACAAAAGGACCCATATCAGGTGGGACTAAAATAACTGTTCATGGACAATACATGGATTCTGGTTTGAAATCGGAAGTATATATAGGCGATGTACCATGCAAAATAACGTTACGAACTCCAAATGTAACCCACTGTATAACAAACCGCGTTGCTCAACCACGTACAGATAGATTAAAAATTACGTTCGACAAATGTTCCAAATATCTAAATCCATTTAACTATTTAAGCGGTCCTTATATAACCAGTGTGATATCAACGTGGGATTTTTGTGACTGCAGATCGAAATTATCCTCCATTGACACTGGCAATGTTTCGGTGCACGTTGACCGATTTAATTTAGATATTGTTAAAAACCGGCGTATTTATCTTTATCACTGCATATCGAAATTATCCGCCATTCCCGCTGGTAATGTCACGGTGTATGTTGAAGGATTTAATTTAGATATTGTTATAAACCCGCGTATTTATGTGATTGTTGATGATAAATTTTATTATGGAAATTGTAGCCCTATAGACCCATATTTTATGATGTGCCGTAGTCCATACGTACCTGATCAAAAGTTGAATTTTACGAATTACAATGGATATATCGATTTAGATTTTGGTTTCGAAATGGACTCAATCTCTGTAACATCTCTAATGGATATTACCAATGGGACACTTAAAATGTTTGATAAATTTCGAATGTACCCTAGTCCAATTTTCAAAGAATTAAAAGAAACTAATATTATACAACAAAATGGCAAAAATTATCTTAATATTCTTGGCCAATATATAATAAATACTGAATGTTTACTNAATGGCAAAAATTATCTTAATATTCTTGGCCAATATATAATAAATACTGAATGTTTACTTATGGAAAAATCACTAACCTTCGTACACAGGTATGGATCCTTGTAACATCACCAAGATTACAATAAGTGAAATTGTTTGCGAATTACTATCTAATGAGCAGAGTGATATTGATGTTATTGTTAAATATGAGGAAAATGTGACATTTAATATTGGTCGATTAATTTATTTAAATAAACCAATTGTTGTGTCAAACAATAATGTTATTATTATAATAGGAATAATAATTTTAGTTATTTTTACGTTCTTAATGCCAACTACAATTATTCTGATTCGATATAAAATAAAAAGGAATTTCAACATGCATAAAAATCATTCACAAAATCTTCACGTACGTAGCCAAGATACTGTTATTGATAACAACGAACTCGCCGAATTACCAAGTAAATAAAAATATATTCTTAATTTTTTGATAAAATATAGGACTTTCAGTTGAATAAAAAAGTTATTAAAAACAAAACCCTTAATAGGATTTTTATTATTTATTTAGTTATTCAAACAGTGGATGAAGTTATTAAAAGTGTAGTATCATTAAGATGTGTCCATTACGAAGACATTTATCAAATATCCGAGAATATATATAATGAATTTATGGAGGATTACAAAATTGTTGGCAGAAATAATATTGATATTAATTACAATGACATACTAGGCCAAGGTCAATTCGGTGTGGTTTATAAAGCTAAACTTTACGAAAATGAACTCGTTAATCAAATCGACGTAGCTGTAAAAAGTATGCTTATGTTAATATTATGTTTTCCAAAGTATGATAAATCCAATAGCACATTCATTACTATGAACTATAGGTAGTACATTGGTCAATAATATTATTGTAAACATAATAATATTATGTAAATAATTTAATAGTTAATAAATTTTTATATTAGTTTAATTATAGGTTTAAGTTTAATCTAATTAACATTTAATAAAATTTAAAATTCTTTAAAAATGATATAATCGCTGTTTTGATATACAATTTATTTAACTTACTGACCAATGTACAGTATTATCTATAGTTCATAGTAATGTATGTGCATTTATCATAGTTCGACATAATATGTCATAATATCTGGTTCATTATATCGGATGATACCTGACTAATATAGGCTTATCTTTCGCTTCTTGCAAGCATTTTTGTTTAAAACTAAATATTAATATCTTTTTAACTTACTCATAGACTTATACACTAAAGATTTTGATATTTAGCCGTAAGCAACAAATGCTTGTAAGAAGCGAAAGATAAGCCTATATTAGTCAGGAATCATCCGATATATTGAACCAGATATATTATATTATAAATACTTGTTATCTTATTAAATTTATTGTAGCTAGCAAAAATACGGCTGACATTGAAGATTTTGTCAACGAGGCCCTTTTAACAAAAGATTTCGATCATAGGCACGTGATGATATTAATCGGAGTCAGTTTCGATGACGATGGTATTCCAATGATTGTGTTGCCGTATATGAAAAACGGAAATTTATTAACATATATCCGTGATGCTCAAAATACTCCTAATGTTAAAACACTAATGATATTCGCTATAAATATTGCTCAAGGTTATTTAGTTATTTTAATAATAATAATTAAAATAATAATAAGTTAGTATATGACTACAAATTTTTCTCAAGGTATGGATTACCTGTCCAGTCAACATTTTGTGCACCGGGATCTGGCAGCTAGGAACTGTATGGTGGACGGGGAACTGTGTGTCAAAATAGGTGATTTTGGTCTATCGCGGGATATATACGAAAAGAATTATTATAGCAGCGATAATAGTAAATGCAAACTCCCTGTCAAATGGATGGCACCGGAAAGCCTATCTATTGTATAAAATAACTTCAATTCCTAAGATTTGATGCAAAATTTTAAAATCTTAAAATTGTATTTTATTTTCTGTTATTTACAAACTAGTATACTGTAACAGTAACAATAATTAAAATTATATAAGTTCCAGGTTTAAAATATAAATGGTTGCTTACGCAACTTTTGTTACTGTCAACAATTATAATAAATTATCTTTTAAATGATATACAGTATGCAATAAATTATTAATTTACTCTGCTTAATACTATACACTCTTACTCAGTGTGACCAACTCAAGTTTCGTAATTAATGGACATTTTAATAAAATAATTTAATAAATAGAGGACAAATAGTGGACAACATATAGTGGAATTGAATTATAATTTTTTGAAAATATTTTTTCTGCTCATCTCACAGCACAAATTTCTGACTAATTTTGTCATTAGTT